CTTGAGATTCCGACTCTATTATTTTTCTTTTTGTCCTCTTTCTAAAAGAAGAGGGATGGAGTGTGTCATTACTGGTATGAACGGTTCGTTTCTCGTCTCTTTGTTATTTATTTTTTTTCTTTTTTTTAAAAAAGGAATAAAGAATAAGATCGTTTTTATATTTTTGATTGTAAGATATTAAGATTGATTAAAAAGCAGGAGGAAATTAATTAAATAATCAACTCCTTCTGATTCGATTAAGATATTTATTTTCAATATAAATAATATTTGTTAATAAGTGGATACTATTCTTCATTTATTTTTAAAGATAATCTATTTTCAGAATCTTATCGTTCCATATTTTTCCATTTCAGTGAGTTATTCGTTTCATTATTCATTGTCTTACAATTTCTCTTACAAATTTTACAGACACCTCATTCTTTTATTCTTTTTTGCACCATGTTCTAATTTCTTTCTTTCTTTTCTTCATCTTTTCATCTTTCTTTTTCTTCCCACATTTTTTTCATTTCTTGATTCTGCAAAATCTTACCTAATTAGGTCTTCCCTCTTTATCATTCAAGATTCTAATTTCTTTTAATACTTTTTTTTACTTTATTACAATTTAACGATTTTCATTCATTTTTTCGATATTTTCTTTTTTATTTTCTCGTTTCATTTTACTAATTTTTACCAAATTTGACGTTTTTCTCTAATTCTTTTTTTCTTTCCTTTTTTTCTAAGATGGAAAGATGTTTTCTGCAATTTTCGATGATATGCTATCGATTTACATGAGATTGCGGAAAAATAGCCAGCCACGTTTCCCCACGTTGGTTATACGGATTCTATAAACGAAAACCGAGATAGGAGCAGAGGAAAATGAGAAGGGCTGCAGCCCAATATTTCTTCTCTGAGAGACGAGGGTTTCCAGCAAGTCATTGTGCCTTATAGTATTTTAAACGACTTCCTGGAACAAATAGTTTCTTGATCCACGAGAAAAATCGTTCAGTGCTCGATGTCAATTTTTATTCAGATAACCATAAATTTAATTAATTCTTTACTTGCGGTAAAAATTAGATCTTTTTTCTTTTTTATATTAATTTCTAATCAACGAAACAGAATACTCACTTGAATTAATTTCGAAATAGATGGAATGAAATAAAAATTCAATTTCAAATAATATATTTTTCAATTTACATATTTCATACAATTAAAAAATCCTATCAATTATGATAATATAATAGTACGAGATAAAAATATTTAAGGGATGAAAAGAAGAAATCTTATTCATAAAGATAATATCAATTTTCATAAACATTCCATAGTTTAATGATCAAATTAAATTTCTCGTTCAATCTTTGACAATAAGTGACGTATTATTTTTCAAGGGAAATCGAAAAATCATTTTAATTTCTTCGAACAAACTTGGTCGATAAATTACAGGATGAAACAAATACGATGATTCGATAATTTTGGCAGCGATGAGGCTAAATTGCGTCGACATAACCGTATCTTTCCAAGAGTTTGTTACGGGTTATCTGAGTGGGGCAGTTAGCCGGAAACCATGCTGACTATGAAGTTGCATCTTCTACTTCCCTTCCTCCGTTAAACACGCTCGCTAATTCCTTAATAAGAGAATACTCGGGACCTCACGAACTGATGATTGCGCCAGTAATCTCTCTTCCACCGTATATATATATATATA